TTAGAAACATTTATAATTACTCTCATCTAAAAAATAATTGAAAATTTCACTCTGTGCCCTGGTTACCACCCACTCCACGTAGCACACACATACGACCCCTTCAGAGAAGGTACTGATAAAAAGAGAAAGACTCTCACACCCACCTGTTATATGACTGTGTTGCAATTTCTTCATCTGAAAGGTTAGATTACCTGGTCATTTTAAATTAAAAATCCTGCAGTAAAGGGAAAAATTTAATGGTCCTTTAGGAAAGCTATAAGAGTTGGAAGGAATCCTTATGGCAAACTAACTCCCTACAGTACTTCATGGAGGGTACCTGTTGGGTATGCTTTCTAGCAGGAATCAAAGAGGATAGAATGACCAGTGAAATGACACCCTCACAATCAAGGGGATTACATAGCTTATTGCAGTTAACCTTCTCTAAATTTTTTTTTTTTTACCTCAGTCTGTATTATTGTTTTAAGTGGTCCTATCTCAGTTTAATAAATGTCATTTTACTGGTGTATTTCCTTTATTTGGAAAGATTAATGAAAAATCAGTTTGACTTTGCATTTAAAATTTGTAGATCAAAACTGTCAAAAATTCATTATTGGTAAAAATGCCTCCTATTTGTCTACTAATATATGTTGAAGGATATATACATATCAATATCAAGTAAGACTTTAAAAACAGTATGTGTGTCAGTAGCTAAAATCCTCATTGACTTATACTGGAGGCATGGAAATACCATATATGGGGAGATTTTTAAAAAGAGAAAGGGTCTCTAAGTTAAAAAAAAAAAACTAAACAATTATACATTCCATGTAAGCTCTGTTTACCCTAAAGTGGTCCTCATATTTAGGTGAAAATGTGACGTGTTAAAGGATTCATGTGTTGAACTTTGATACAGTAAGATCACAGGAGAAAATACCTCTCTCTGTGGATTCTTCTCAGGCTGCATAAGCAAACAAATTAACATCAGACACATTAGTAGAGGAAAAGACCAAATTTAGTTATATACATATGGAGTATTTTCTTGGCTGTAAATCTAAAGCAAAAGGAACAAACTGAGAGCTTGTGTCTTGTGTTAGGTAAATGGGATAGGGGCTGGGTTGTCAGTGAGAGGAGAGGTTTTACATGAGAAGAAAGGAATGACAGCATATGACCAAGTCTTACCTCTAGATGTTTGCCCTACTCTAAGACAGATTTCCTGCATAAAAAGTTTGTTTCCGGAGATGGCCCTAAATCTGGCCTAAACCTTAAATTCTTTAAGGTTATGGGAACAGTTTTTTCCCAAGGCCCACAAAGTCTCCGTTGACCTCAGTTACACATACGAAAGTGACAGGTATTGGAAATAATTTGCTCTTGTGATCTTGTAAAATTTATCTCTGAATATTTTCAGGGAGATCTATCTTTTTTTTTTTTATATTTCTTTATTTATACAAGAACTGGGGTACAGGCCAGATGCACGGGAGGGTAAGAGGATTCACCAGAGACAGAGCGGGGAAAAGAACAGGCAGACTGACTGAAATACACTGCTGAAGGGAGCAGTGGGCGAGACAGGAGAGGTCTGCTGCGCCATGTGGGTTTCTCACTGGCCGGCCGGTATCAAACCCATGTTGCAGAGACTGCAGATAGCTTCACAGTGTGGCGCTCAACTACCTGCACCACCAGGAAGGCCCTGGGAGATCAATCTTATAATACTTTTATTTTGTCTTACTAAGAAAAAAAATTGAAGTCAAAAAAATTAAATTAAAAGATCAGAATGTGTTTTATCTCACCAGACTGTGACTCTCTCTGATGAATCTAGCACAGGGCCTAGTATTTCATGATTTAATAGGGGTTCAAAAAATATTCACTAGATAAATACATATTTTTGTTAGTCCACATTAAGAGGTGATTGTTATCCTTCTTTCACCTGTTTGAAAGAGATTTGTCTACTCCAAAAAAGAAAATCATAAAAAAAAAATAATTTGTAGGCAGAGAACTAAAGAAATACGGCATAGGTTATTAAGATATTGAGAGCTAGAGAGAGACAGATAAAGTATTTGGTTATCAGCTGAGACCAATGTGTCTCTGTCTTTCTGTCTTTGAACAAGAAAAACACTGACTTTCCAAAATGTGTGTTCTTCCTTCTTTGTTATTTTAAGTGTTTTTTCAAATAGACTGACTCATACCACAAGGGAATTGATTTAGTGGGTAAGAAGTTTATTTCAAGCCTTACATGCATACTGAGTAGTGGCTTCACAGTAGGAGGTAGGGTGAATGATATGAATCCAGAGATTAGGGGGAAAAAAGCAAACTGTGTTGTAAACTAAAGTTACCTCAATGAAAAAAGAGGAGAAAAAGGCATCTACCTTTTTGCTGTCTTGGCTTCATATTAGGAAGCTTGAGAAAGAGTGAGTGTGAGTTAAGATGTTTCTTTGTTTGTAATTAACTAATATACTCTTCACAGGCTCTTTTGAACCCATGGAAGCTGACTAGTGATTTCACACACACACACACACACACACACACACACACACATACTCCTTAAGTGCTTAATTTAGCTTGACTAACTTAGTCCTCTTCTGTTCTGTGTTTCTTTTTTAATACTTCGGAGATTATGGAGATGCTATTATATATGTGTATATATACATGGAGAGAGAGAGAGAGAGACTGTGTAATGGTATTTTGTTAAAACTTCCTGAAAATTGTGTATTTTCAAAAGAAATGGAAATGAGTTCCAGGCTAGATAAATCACATTACCTTACTGTGGGCATGCAGGAACTGCTGCAAAATCTCTAAATGTCCAAATGGTTTCAACTCCTGTAAACAACCACAGTTGACTAAGCAGAACTCATCCAGATTCCTGTGCTAATTCCGTAGAAGAAAAAGAGGAAGAGCTGCGAGTGAGTCAGCTGCTCGAATTAGTAAACATAAACACAATTTACTTCATAAGCCCAGAAAATGAAAAGAACCTGGAAGTTAGTCTCTCCTTTGTATTTCTTAGTAGTGTTTCCTCATCTTTCTATGGATTATATATATTTTTAAGTGCTGCAAACTATTTGAAAAAATAACATGTATGTGTATTTATATAGTATTTGTATATATGTACATATTACTCCTACATATGTGTAGTATGTGTATATGTACATACTACACATATACACACATGTATAATATAAGCCTAGGGCAATAACAGTTGAAAAATAGATGAGTATTTGAAGGAGGGAGGGGCTTGCACATAAAAATATGCTATTTTTGATAAATTGTAAAAATATTGTTTAGAATCTTTCTAGACGAAAGCATATTCTTTCTAGAACATGTATATTCTTAATTTTGCTGTATGGAGGTCTTTTAGTGCTTTTAAATGATGAAGGTAATAGATGCTCATTATTACTAATTAAAATATTTAAGGCAGTATCAAAATTGTTATTTTCCTTGTCCTCTCATTTGCAGCTAGGATTCTTATTCTTTTCACAAAGATGAGAATTCATTATGCCCATTATTTCACACCCCATACACTCTAAATGTCTTTTTTTAAGCTTGCTTTTGTCTCACAGATCGGCAGGCAGCTGTGCAATGTTAAATACACCGCTTAATCTCTTGAGTCCCAGTTTCCATGTCCCCAGAGTAAAGATTATTCCTCACAGGATTATTAGAAGTTTTAAATGAGATAATAGATATGATAATGTTCATGCAGTGTTGAATAAATTTTGGCTTTCCACTTAGAAAACTCAAGAGATCTTTCAATAGGAAGCTATTTCTTGTTAGTATTAAAGGGGGATACATAGGAGGGGGATACATAGGGGAAACATAAGAGGGTGATCTCAATAGTTCTTCACAAGAATCTTGTGAATTAGGCTAATTTTTAAATACCCGTTATATCAGGGAGCACTATAATTTGGAGAAATTAAATGGAATGACCAATATTTCTTGCAAGCTTGTAATGGAGTGAAATTCTTTTTTACTAGTAGTCCAGTGTTCTTTATAATACTCAGTGCTCAATTCCAGCAAGATATGTCAAAGCCAGAGAATTGGCAAATACTAAACAGAAGTCTAACTGATTTCAAAATTGTGTCTATAAATTTAGTTTTCTCAAATATTTCGTGATTCCTAGAAAGAGAAGAGTACCTGGGGAAGTAGCCTAAACTGCTCCTGAAACCCATATTAACTAAACTAAACTCAGTGTGTATTTCTTGGGTGCTGTGGACCAGAGCAGTTGCAATTCTAGTATCAAATGTACCACATTTTGCTATTATTTCTCTAAAAAACATCATACAAAAGAGGAGTAGTTTTAGAATCAGTAAAACCTACTACTTCCCCCCTTATACAGTAAATAATCTCTTGAGAATTTCATGGAGACAATCGCTAGAAAGACAAAAGATGCTTAAGAAAGCACTAATAATTGCAGTGTCCACTGGAGGACTAAAAATGGTGGAATGGATCCTGCTGTCCCAAAATCTAACCATGACAGTAATGAAAATTAGGTCTGACAATGGAACAGATGAAAATCCACAGCGGTCACTGAGGGAAAAAAATCCTTTGAGATAAAGTTAAACTACTTGTTTGTAAAATAATAAGAATAGAGTGTATTCTGTTTGGGCCTACGAATGATAGTGATTTGGTTTCAGCCTGTATATTTGGCTACAAGCAAATACTGGTAGGCAGTCTACTAGCATGGTGAAACAAGTCAGTTTTCATTTCCTTTCAAGTCCTGCTTTAGCTTATCCATCTATACAAAAGCAGAACAAAAGGCAAGAGATTACTGTACCCTAAAGCATCCAAGTGGCTCATAGGCTCAGGGTTATTTATAGCTCTCTGGCTCATACTGAGAACTTCCTGTCTATTCAGTGAATGTGAGAATGTGCAAACGGGAGCTCCAGCACTGTCATAGGAGACACAGATGCAGCATGTGATCAATGATTAGATTCTCAAGCCTGTTTTTGTTTTTGATCTGTTGTGCTTGGCAATCACTTTGTGAATATTTACCTCAGAATAGGTTCATCCTTTTCTTCATGTGCACATTCTGTTTGTAGATGTTGCTATGAGGACAGATTCATCAGAAATGACTGATGTGGAACATGTGATCACCAGTTTTGCAGCTTCAGCACGGACAGGCCGCCGAAATGCCATACCAGACATCCAGGGTTCAACTTCGACAGGTGAACTCTCAGAGTTGCCCCTGAAACTGGAGAACCTCTCCTTGAAGAAAGGTAACACTCAAAGTCTCTTAAAATCATCAGCACTTCTCTCTACTTAATCACCCTTTTCCTTTGAAACAGATTCTCTTTTAACTAACTGAAAGCATTTCTTTCTCTTGTTTACTAAACCTTTTGTTTAAGATGAAGTAAATTTTTCAGTATTTTGGAAAGTGAACAATTTCTTTTTATCACATGGTGCAGTTGGATATTTATTTATTTACTTGATTATTAATTTTTGTACAGTATTTGATTTCTCCTTTCAGGAGTAGGCAGTGGGCAGGTTTGAATTTTGTACACTCAGAAATTATGTTGAAGGAATATATTGAAAATATATTCAGTTATATTGAAAACACCAGACAAATTCAAAAGGTTGTACAACAATAGTGATAACTATCCATGACTATGTATAACACTGTACAGAAAATAGCCTTTTTTGTTGTTTAACATCCTTCATTTACCCTTCATCAACATTACAATAGAAAGGAAAAAGCTATCATAGCCTCTTTGAAGAGTTTATTTCCTTTTCTCTTCAATTATCTTTCAATATATTTCTAAACATTTACTATTACATTTCAAAGGCAAAAAAAGGTGCTTGGAACCATATTCCATATTTTAGCTCATAATCTTGAGCAAGATACTAGATCATCATACTAGATGATCTCTGAAGAATCTTAATTCAGTTGTTATTATGAACTTCTAGTTGATTTCATAGCAAGAGAACTACTTAAGGGGCCTTCACCATCTCCTCATTAGCCCAACTTAGAGAAAACAGAGCTGACAGCTCTTCTCAGAAAGCTCTAAATACTTCATGGGTAGCTTGATTAGAGTCAGTGATAGCAAGTGGTGCTTAAATAATTCTGAAAGTAATTTAAGTGCTTCATATTTCATACTGGCTTAGAGTACCATTTCCTACCAAGCCTGTTTTCCTGTGAGAGTTGTTTCAATAAACATTTATTAAGCACCTGCCATGATAATCAGAAGGCAACTGAGCATGATTGCTATGATTCAGACCCACCGTGGATCCCACTTCTCATTTCTGTTTTGTAGCAAAACAATGTGGCAAAACAACATATCTATTTTTCTGCCTCCAAATCCTTTGTCCCATTCTTAACCCTGATAAGACTTTCACCCCACCACCCCACTGCAGTTTCAAGATGGCAAATGACATCTCTGATAAAAATCAGTATTCAATTCTTAGTCCTCATTTCACATGATCTTGTAGAAATTTTCTTATGGCTGATCTTTACTTCTTCTCCTAAACACTATTCTTCCCTTGACGTCCACTACAATCCATTTTCCTGGTTTCCTTCCTCCATACTGACAGCTGTTCCTCAGACTGTTGTTTCCCTACCTTTTCATAAATGGGTTGTACCAGTTTATGGTACAACTCTACTAACCCTCCATTTCTATTTTTTTTAAGATTTATTTATTTATGTATAAAAGAACTGGGTTATAGGCCAGAGATGGGGGGGGGTGGATTCACCAGAGATAGTGGGGAGCAGAACAGGCAGATGCAGTGAAATACACTGCAAAGGGGAGCAGCAGGCATGACAGGAGAGGTCTGCTGCACCATGTATGTTGGCTCTTTGGTGGGGGATTGAACTCATGTCACAGTGGAGACAGCTGGACAGCACTGTGTCTTTAACCCCTGCACCACCAGGGAGGCCCTAACCCTCCATTTCTTGTGATAGCATCTAGTCTCACTGGGATAATGATTGGCCTTCTGATTACTCACATTGTTGTATCTCCAGGCTAGAGGACCTCTGAACTTTACCCTCATTGGCATCTTTGCTTGAATATTAAAACAGTAAATTTCAAACTTAATGGGTACTAAAGGGAGCTCCAGATATAATCACTGAAACCTGCTCTTTCCCATCTCAGTGAATCACAGTTTCAGATTCCCACCTGCTAAATTCAAAAAACATTCAAATTACTATTGTCCCCCACTGTCTCATATCCTACATCTCACCCATTTGCAAATACTGCCAGCTTTACTGTCAAAACTGGCCCAGAAAAGTGCTATTTTTTTTTCACCTAAAAGACTACTCTCTTATTACCCCTCTGACCCAACCTCCAACTCCTTTTACTATACTCTGTCCTACTTGCCTTCCTTCCAGTGTTGATGCCACTGACCTTGCTGTTCTCTTTGTTTGGCATGCTTTTCTCCCTGATATCCAAATAGCTGACTCCCTCGCACCCTTAGGCATTTATTCAAATACCCCCTTTTCAGTGAGGCATTCTAAACCCTATCTAAATCTGCAACCTCCAGGCCCCAAGAATTCTCAGTAATTTCAATTCTTTAATTTCATTCTGAGCATGTATCACTTCTTATACCCACACATTTTACTTTGTATATTGTCCATATCCCTCATCAAAAGTTCCCCAAGAGTAGTATATGTATTTTCATTTCTTAGTGTGTAATATATGCCTAATAAATATTTGATGAATGAAATTTGAAGAACTGAATAGAATCCATCATATTTATCTTCCAAGGTATCATTGATGATTGTAGTAGATGCAATTTGAGGAAAGTAGTAGAAAACTTACTAGTTTTATTTTAAAATGGGGACAGCAAAAGATGATATATTTTATTTTATTTATTTATTTTTTAAAAATTTATTTATTTATGCATACAAGAACTGGGGTATAAGCCAGAGGTGTGGGAGGTGTGAGGATTCACCGGAGAGAGTGGGGAGCAGAACAGGCAGATCTACTGAAATACACTGCCTAGGGGAGCAGCGGGCGAGGCAGGAGAGGTCTGCCTTGCCATGTAGTAGCTCCCTGGCCAGCTGGGAATTGAACTCATGCTGTTGTGTCTGGCAAGAGCTTGTTACCACTGTCTTTAACCCCTGCACCACCAGGGAGGCCCTGGTGATATATTTTAAAGAATAAAAGAGAAGTGTGTGGAAGAATAGCAATTTAGTAAAAGGTTTTTGAAGAATGTAGTAGTGTGAAGAATTGGCACTACTAGGAGAAAGGGAAAGTCAGATGAAATAGAGAAAGGGAATGAATAGTTTCCTGATGAGGCAAAATGGGTAGTTTCCCAGATCATGAAAGAATTAGATCTGGATAGTACAAACAGCATTGGGGTCCGCTCCAAGATTGTGCAACTAATGCAGTAATGCAAGGTCCCAGGCCCAGAAGAGACCTTCACTCGTTTTTATGCTCTACTGGTGCCATCTTGGAATTTTCCTTATTTTCTGAGCAAGGTGGTGCTGTGCTTTCACTTTGCACTGGGTCCCAACAATTATGTAGACAGGCCTGAGGAGCACATCTTTCTTTCTAGTAGGAGGGAGGGCAGGAATAAATACAGGCCACAGGGGCTTTTGGAAGTTTTGTTGGCAGAAAACTGAAGGAGGCAGAAAGCTGAGGGATGACTGATTTTTTTTTTTCTGTGAGGTACAAAGTGACATCATCTCCTAAGAGCAAAAGAGAAAGTGTAAGGAAGCTAGAGAAAGTGTGATCCAGTACAGAAAGGTAATAAACTATGAAACCTGTCAGCCTGGGTCCAAATTGTGACTTTGCCATTTAGTGGCTTGTGATTTTGGGCAAGTCACTTAACCTTTTAATCTGTAGATGGAGATTGTAATAATGATACCTTATGGAGACTTCCTGGTGCATAATAATTCTGGAGAATAGGAGAGAAGGGTGATTAGGAGAAATAGATGATCAAATCTACCCATATTTCTTTTCTTTGTATAGTTTCTATATCTGGGTTGGAGACAAAGTATTTATGACTCATGGAAAAATGACTAGAGCTCGTAAGGAGAAAACAACTGTTCATTTTTTTTTTTTTTTGCAATAAAACTTTTGTTTATTTTAATTGAGGTAACATAGGTTTACAATATTGTATATGATTTAGTGGTACAAGATCACACCCTTCATGGTCTATTACCACACCACACCTACCAACACGGCACTGAAAGTCCTTCACCATAGCTAACTGTGCCCCCTACTGTCTATGCTCACCCTGCTACCCCTTCCCATGTGGTGGTCTTAATTATGGTCAGATTTCTAGGGTCATTATTGGTTTGATTTTATTGATCGTTTGTTTCCCTGTGTTCTGCATGTAAGTGACACCATTTGATACTTGTTTTTCTCCTTGACTTATTTGCTTAGCATAATCCCCTACAGTTTCATCTGTATTATTGCAAAAGTGAAGCGTTTGTTATTTTTTATAGCTGAGTAGTATTCCATTGTGTATTTTAAGCATATCTTCCTAATACGCTTATCAGTCTTTGGGCGCTTAAATTGTTGCCATAACTTGACTATTATACTAATGAATAGTGCTTCAATAAACATAGGTGTGCATATATCTCTTTAAATTAATATTTTTGTAAATCTTTAGGTATATAGCTAGAGTTGAATTATTGGATCATATCGTAGATCTATTTGTAATATTTTTAGAAATTTTCCACAGGATGTGAAACAGCCTACATTCCACAAGTAGTGTGTGTTCTAGCCATTTTGATATGGGCCATTCTCATAGGTGCGTGGTGTTATCTCATTGTGGTTTTGATTTGCATGACTGATGATGAGTGATAATATTTTTTCATGTTTTATACCAATATAATTAATGTGTTTCAATGAAAATTATGTTTTTTATAGATGTAATAAAGAAAGATGAAGAAATAACACAAGACCAATTGGAAAAACCCCCAAATGAAGAAAAATGAAGGCTCATAACCTATTGCAAGTGCTAAATTTCTGCACTTTGAGAGACTTAGTGGTTCTGCTTTCCTGAGATATTTGATCTGGTAGTAACTATGGTAACATTGCAGCCCTAAGCAACATGTGTATTAGATAATTTTGTTGTGATGCTACTCACTTGGATTGCAACCATTATGTTCAATATAGGTTATTAAAAGGCAGATTTCTTCCAAATTGCACCCAAGGAAAAGTTTAAAAATGATGGTCACTTTAAAAAATAATGTCTATAAACCCAACAAAACCCATTGTTCTCTTTTGAAATTAATTTAGTCAGATATATATTTTTAATTCCATGTTTATGGTAATGGGTAGACCAGTTCTTGATAAATATAAAGCAAACATCATTTATGTGAAACTTCATAGAATTTGTAGGAAATTATGTTTTTTGGTGAGAAGGGATAATAGAATATTCAAAAACATTTAAATAGGATATATTTGTTCTTAACCAAAAATACACCAATTTTCTCCTAAATAAAATTTAGAAAAATGTCAAAAGTTTGATAAACTAATTTTCTCTAGGATGTTTTTGCTGAATTATTTTGCTTCTAGTCTGTGCATACTGTGATTTTTCATGTGGGCTCTTCAAATGCAAAATTTGTGACAAATTGTTTATATGGAACATGACTATTAAATGAATTTCACTATCTTCCTTAACTTTGATGTGTATTTGTGTGTATCTTTTATTTTACTGTGTATTATGAAAAAAAAGGCATTTTACTATTTGTTTCACACTGTCTTTTCTTACTCTAAGTGGTTTTGTGTGTATATATATATATATATATATATATATATATATATATATGACTTGGTTCTAAAATAATTTCCTTAGGAATGCAGACATTAATTTTATATCTTTCCTAAAGTAACTAACACAACTATGGGCACTTAAATATTCAGTGCATGATGTAGGCTAGATAGCAAAGTACTTACTTTTAATATATCTATATATATATATTTAAAAGGAATAAAAGCAAAACCAAAGCTTTAGTAGCTTTTGATTCTTTAGATTTTAAGACAATAACAGTATTTTGAATTAAAAATTTTTGACTAACAAATTAATTTTTATGTGTGAATCCAGTGATATTTTATTTGCTTGCCCATATCTATATGCAGTAATCAAACTCTCACAAAATTGCTACTAAAACAGATTTTTTATTTTATCTTCTAAAGTGTACTAGCAGAAAAATGGAGATACATTTTAAAGGACGATGTTAAGAGTCTTTGCAATATAAATCACTTCCTGCTTATTATTTCATTGACAAAGTTTATTTTGATATCTAATATCTGCCAAAGGGGTAGATTTCAAATAAACTGATGTTTTTAAGTTTTCAAATATAAATACTTCAAATGTAAGTACTAAATTTTAGTATTCAGTAAATGTATTTTAGCCTTGAAAATAGTGTTTCTGAATGACATGATGAGAGTAGAATAGTGGTTTTCCATTTGAGGGGAGTGTTGATTTTGCCTCCTAGAGGACATTTGGCAATGTCTGAAGAGTTTTTGATTGCAACACCAGAGGACCAGTAGAGAAGGCACTACTGGCATCTAGTGGGCAGAGGCCAGGGATGCTGCTAAGTTGTTAAGCGTCCCGCAGTACAGCAGGCAAAACCTCACAGCAAGAATTATCTGGCCACCTGTGTCAGTGGTGCTGCAGCTGAGAAACTCCAGAGTAGTTTTTTTAAGCATGTGGATTTTAGGTTCAGGTGATCTGCGTCTGAATTCTAGCTCTGATCCTTGCTATTTATGTGTTCTTGGGCAATTTATATCTTGTCACACAGTCTTAGCTTCATCCTTTGTAGATTAGTATTAATAATAGTATTTATAGGGAATTAGTGAGATAGTATATGTAAAACACTTGAGTAATGCCTGGCAAAGAATAACATTCAATAAATATTAACTATCATCAATAGCACACCCATTTTTATTCTAGATATCTTTGCTATTATTCTCTGGAGGTGTTGGTCAGCAGCTAGGTTTGTTAATTTGACCGTCTTCTGCCTTCTGCTGCGATTTCACAAATGACCCTAATTCTCAGTGCTAGGAGAATCCATTATAGAGGAAATTCACGGTTCACAGCATTTACCATGTAGTCCCAATTCACTCAAGCTGAGTGACTGATAGATGATGAACATTACTCTTTAACAATGAGTCACCTCACTAGTGTTTTGTTAGAGTGATTGCAGCAAAACAAAATTTTGAGTCAGTATTTAAATGAGTAACATGAAATTGTAGAAGAAAAAAATATTGCTCTTGGGGTCACTATTATTTGGTTCTTATCTCTCATTTGGAAGGGCAGAAATGAAGCCACATCTCCTCATTACTGCTAGTAATATATTCTGAATGATGTGTATCCTAAATCAGTCATCAAAATGTGCACATAAATGTCATATTATATACATATTTATAAGTATTTTATATTACACAGGCTATCAGGCTACTTGAATAATTGGCAGCAAAAAGATTTTCTTTTTTTCCTGGGAAGGAGTACAGACAAAGGAGATGAGGGGGATCAGTGCTAGTTTAAAAAAAAATGAATTTGCTTATCAACTTAAAAAAAATAGCTAGTTTTGAGAACCTGTGGTATTTTGTCATAGCAGGTAGACAGTTTCAACAAATCTACCTAGTTGGGGCTTATTGTAAAAATCTCCATGTACATTTTTGCCATTGTCCTTTCACAAGGTGCTTGCTTTCATCAATAGCTATAGGTCTTAATTAATATTGCCAGAAAAACCTGGAAAAAGGGAGGATGATAAAGCTATAAAGCAGGTCTCTGGAAACTTGACAGTGTACAGAGGAGAAGAAGAAGAAAAAGAAATCATTCTGTGTTATGTGCCCAAAGTGTATTATGATCTGGGCTGGAAAGGATTGAGCCTCCTGAGTCTGGCTTTGGGGAGAGGCATTCTACTTGCAAAAGGAAAGGGCCATTTGCTTCAGTTTTGATAGGGGAAGTGACTTGAGCATCTTGGGCAGATGTGGGTGGAGAAAGAGGAGTAGCCAGAGCACAAAGCAGTGTGCTGCCTGATCTGTGGAAACTGACACCTCAAATACAAATCAGTTCTGCCATTTTTTCAGTGACCTTGTTTTTTTTTCTCTCTGCACTTCAATATCTTCCATGTGTAAGATGGTAAATAATTATCCTGAGGACTAAATGAGTAAATACTGTTAATTGCTAAGGAAAATGCCTGATACATGACAAAAGTTGTTTATTATTATTATCATCATCATCATTATTGTAGAGAGTGGTAAGGACTTCAAGGTGAAATTCTTAATCTGTTGATTCTTTCCTCTATTTACCAAAGTATATTTTCCTTTTTTTATTTTATTTTTATACTCTTTCCTTTCCATGAACAACATCTATGTAACATAAAATTAGGACTGATTAATCAGAATAAATTCCATTTTCAGAGATATTGACAATAGTTCTTAGAACATAAAACATCTGCAGCTATTTAAAAACAAAAGCATTGACTCAAATAAGGGTTAGATAGGTGCTGTTGCTACCTGTAAAAATTCTAAATGGATTTCTCATCGAGCACACATCAGTAGGAATAACTGTAATTATTATAACTGCACTTTGAGTGACTGATAACTACTAAGCACCATAGTAGATCCCTTTGAAGCTTCATAAAAATCATTATGCAAAATATTAATATTTATTGATGGAAATAATGAATATAGGGAGTGCTTTTGGGAATTCATGGAAGAAAGAAAATGGCAGGAGTGACCTAGGATAGGATGCTCAGATTCAGAATGTATGCTGCTTGTCTCTCCCTTAAAAGGCTGTTCTGCCCCAGACCATCTCAACTATCAGTCTGGTCAAATTTATTTGAATCTCTTCAGGATTCATAGAGAAACTGAGATGGATATAGGTAGGACAGCACAGAAGTCATCATGAGGCATTGATATCTTAGCATAAGCATTTTTGTTTGGTTTCATTCATTTCCTCGTTGATTCTTTCATAGTTTACCTTCTGGGTAAAGGGTAAAGGAAAGATTTTATATGATGAACAAATCACTTAATTTTCCAGTTACTTGAACAAACCTGAAGAAATAAAAAATAGTGAGAAACCTGTGGTTCATTTTGGAAGGGAGAAAATACCCAGAACTGAGGCAAAGGGATAAAGGCTGAGCTGAAGAGAAGAAACACGGTGCCCAGATTTGACTCACTTCATGTTTGTCCCAGGACTAGCCTACCTGTGAAAAGGACACACTGTCATTTTGTGGGAAACACAATCAAACCTGGCAGGAACTGCCTATAAATACCTTTAAAATAGAACCACATTGGCCAACGAATTGATCTCTGGTGTTCCATGTAGATGTGTTTCGGAGGTTGAGTAGTGTTTTTCAGTACTGATGGCAGAGAATCACCCGAAGTGCTCCTTGGGGTCTCTACAGGAAACCATTCTCAGAGAATAAATTAGAACAGAAAGTCTTTCCACACTATGTGGAAAGCACAGGTATATAGCATTCATTTGCAGCTTTCTCATTGCTTTACACATACTACACATTCAACAATTCCTGTTTTATAGTAAAAAGTTTTTTTTTGTGTGTGTGTGTGTTTTTTTTTTTTTTTTTTTTTTTTTTTGTGGGACCCTCGCCGGCAGTCGGGGAACGAACTGGTGCTGCAGAGGCTGCGCTCAACCGCTGCGCCACCTGCGGAGGTCCTATAGTAAAAAGTTTTACCTAAATTCGATTTGTATTAGTGAAAAAAAAAGCATTTTAAGTCCTTCTTTTTTATATAGTAATATTGTTGAGAACATGAAAAAATCAGGGTTAGGAAGTGTCAGTAGTAAATGTGGATTTTGATCTGCATTTAATCCAATTGACTGTATGCCTTTAGGTAAATTAGCCACCTCATCATTTAGGAGACATTACTCACAATGGACACTAGGTGGTGCTGGCACCACACTTCTGGTTGATTTCACAAAAGTCATTTATTCAGGTTTCTTATAGGTTCCAGTTTGTTTTGTTTGCTTATTTTGCTTTGTTTTACAAGTTTTCTGCTATGCGTGCTGACCAGGATAAATACATAAAACACAACAAACAAAAGCTGCAGTATTGCAAATACAATTCTTTTTGAGAGACAGTTTATAAAGGAAATTATGAGTGTGCTAATCTATGGACATTCACATTTTAGGATTCCCTATGTTATTAAGTACCAAGAGAGGGTGCTCTAGTCTTAAAAATACATTTCTTGGGCCTACAAAGGCTACAACTTTTTCTTCTCTGTAACAGTTTTTTTTTCTCCCTTTATGACAGGGTCGACTATTTTTAAAATTTAAGATAGCTACACATGTACAATGTTTTATTTACTAAAATCAAATTGAAATGAGCTCTGAATTTTATATAATCTTAAGTTCAAAATTGACCTGTAATGCTTTATAAGTTAAAAGCACTATTTTCAAATGTGACTTGGAGAAGCCTCTGGCAGCTTCAACCCAAGTTTATGTATGTGAATACGCTGCTTTACTCTTGATTTAACTCACTTGACAGTTTTCCCTCCACTTAGGAAAAATAGGTTTCATGAAAATAAAATAGGGGTTTATAGCCTGCTTGTAGGGTAAGGAAAAATATCAGGCTTTTCTGCCCTCCCGCCATCAGGATAGATGAGGGAACCCTGTGATCCTGAATGCATGCCTGATGGT